CAATACCAACACTGGGTTTCTTTTCTAAGAAACAACTTATTTTTATTTCCCGTCCAGACTTGAGGGTTTTTTGGGGGGGAGGGAGTATTTTATGTTTTTGTTTTTGTTTTTTGTGCTTGTCATTGGCGTTAACAACCTCTTTGGAAGTTTAGAGCCACGTTCAGTAGAAGACTGTGGAAGTCTCTGCTGAAGGCAGTGTTTTAAGATCGTGCCGTCTGAGAATAGAAGGTTGTGAAGCAGATACTTCCCCAGATATAGTTTGTGAAGTGTTTCTTCAAAGTAATTGAAAGAAATAAATGAGTAGGTATATATTTCATAGTAAATTTTCAAAGTGTACCATTTTATTTAGCTATGATGATGTACTTTTTTCCACAACTACAGCTGGAGATGTGCGTTCTTTCATTATTAATTTGAAAGGCTTTGAGTAATTGATCTTTTTGAGATCATAGACCCTTTTAAGAACGTGATAAAACTGATAAGCCTCCCAGAACGCACCTACATGCTAAGCCTTATCACAGTGGTTTCTCAAGCGAGGGTAGAGAGATTATGCTCTCCATTCGAAATCTGGCAAGTTCAGGACGTCATTGGTTTTTTATTGACTTTTAGAGAGAGGAAGAGAGAGAGAAACACGGATGTGAGAGCAAAACATCCCGCACAGCCCCCCAACCCAGGATCGAGCCAACAACCCCCACCCCCACCCTAGCATGTGCCCTGACCTGGAATCCATTTGGGGTGCAGGAGATGAGCCCAACCAGTTGGACCACACCAGCCAGGGCTAGGTCTTCATTTTCTATTATCATTGATCAGGAAGGTGCTACTAGTATCTAGTGGTTAGAGGCCAGTGATGCCCTGCCGTGTACAGGACGGTTCGTCAGAATTATCTGGCCGAAATGTCAATAGTACCATGGTTGAAAAAACCTTTTTCAGTGAAATGTCATATGGGTCCCCGTTCCCCTGCAGCCCATCCATGAATTCCAGATTTAAGTAATCCAAACTGTCTTGTACAAAGCACTAGGTACTGAGCTCAGTGACAGCATAGTACTTGACTGCCAGTTACGTATCACACCCTAAGCTATTAGCAGAACCTTCAGGTCTACGTAATGTGAAGGTAAAAGATATGACTGTGTGAAGACAAAATAATGATCGTGAGATTCAGACTCACCCTTCTCACAGACTGCTGGGGAAATCAGTCTGGGACCTTTCTCAGGCTTTGGAGGAGTTTTAAGCCCTGAGGTGGGTGGCTGGGATTAAGTCCTTGCAGTGCCAGTTACCACACTAACTTCTCTTAATAGGTTACTTCATCTAGTCCTCAAAAAAGAAGAAAGAAAGTATGAGAAAGGTGCAGTTATCATGTTACCCAGAGGGTAAGATGTTACAGCTGAAAGGTAGGCTTTACAATTTTTTTATTATTTCCAGCCTATCAAACAGAGTAAATGTATTAGAGAGATTATGCCTAAGATAAAAGAAAAGATAAAAGAAGAGGCTGAATTTTTAAAAAATCTGTTAGGATGGAATATCAGTTATTTGTGAAATCACTGTGTTATATAATAGGACTCAAATTTCTAACTTAGATAAGTGAATTTGGACAAATGGTGGTCTTTTGAGTCTAAATTTTTTCACTTATAAAAAGAAGTTGGAATAGACGATTTTTAATATTCTTCTACCTCATGACTTCCAGCATAACTAGATAGGTACTCTTATATTTGAGGAGTTTAGAGGTCATCTAACTTTGTTCAAGTACATAATTTTACAGATGATGATGTAGAGGTTCAGAATCCTTCCAGTGTCTTACCCAAAGCTGAGCCTAGAATCCATGTATCCTGATTTCTCTTTTCACTCCACCATTTAATTATCTTCCCAAACTATAAAATCTTCTGAATTACTCCTTTGGCTGTTGTATGCATACTTTATAGGCTAAATGCCTTATATATTTAAAACTGTTGCATTAAATTTGCACCTTCAAAGGATCTTTAAATTACTTCCCAGCCAGAAGTTCCCACACAGCAGATACCATTTATATTTCTTATTCTGGGCCTGAGTTTCTGTATGTTTGGAAGTAGTCTCATTGAGTCATAAAATGCGATCATGAGTGTAAAAATATGTGGAAAGCTGTAAAGCATCTATGACGACACTTTTGGTTGGCTACTCGGTATTAATTCTCAACCCATCCTCCCTTGTTCACCGCATGCTTTTTGGTGCCACATGATCTTCTTCTAACCAATGAGTCTGCTGAGGAGGCCTCTGGGGAAGATTGCATTCTCTGATAAAAGGAGGCATGAGAGAACAGTTCTTCTACCATTCTGGCTGCCTTTGAACACATTCTTGAAGGATGAAATGTTTGGAACTGTGGTATCCTTCTAGTAATCATGAGAGGAATCACAGAGACATAACCCTGGCACTCTAATATTAAGTGTGGATCTACACACCTCTTTTTGGAATTTTTAGAAGAAAATTATGGACTGATAATATGGTTGAAGTCATTTTTATTTGAATTTTCTGCTTTTAATATCTCAAAGCATTCCTAATTGGTGAAGCACTGTGCAGATAAGACATATGATCAATGATATGCAATACACATCAGTTAACATTATATCCCAGTGCTTGACAATAAGAGATAGACATTTAATAATTCAACATTAGCTGAGTAATGAATTAGCAAATTAACATTATTGTAATTATTAACCTTGTTCTAGCTCAGCTTAGAGAGTGGGTATTTAACTTTTTAAAAAATGAGGTATGCTATGTGAAATTAAGGAAAGAGTGTGATAGTGGAATATATGGAATATATACCATAGGATCAATTACTTTTGACCATTGGAGAAAGTTTAGAAAGGGACTTCTTTAGTTCACATTTATGGCAAGCACTGTGATTTGACTGATACAATGTCCATTTCCCACCTTCCCGCTCCGTGGCTTCAATAGAGGCAGCAAAAGCTAAAATCTCTGTTTTCCGGCCTCCCTTGAAGCTTGAGTTGCCCTGTGACAGCGCTAGACAGTAAGATGAAAGTGGAGGGCTGCTGGTACCATCACATCCACCTCCTCTTTCTTCCAGCCTGAATTTAAAATGGCTGGGTTAGTCCCTTGAAGCACAGAAGCCATCTTTCAATCATGAGGTGACATGGATTAAGGCAAAGCCAGCACATAAAGAATCATGGAGTAAAATGGTGGAAAGGGTCTGGATACTTGGTATCTTTGTTAGGCTCCTGCATTATCTTCAGACATCTCTTGAGTGAGAACAATAACCCTTAGCTGTTTAAATCACTGCTATTAGCAATTAAAACATGCCTGCTGTACTCTTCAAACTAACTGTGCTCTTGCAGTCCAGGAGTCAGCACCACAGTGAAGTGAATTAGACACAAAACACAGAGGCACTAAGCAGAGCAAAAGAAGACAGAATAGTGCCCAAGGGAGAATTGATTCTGCAACGATAGTGGCTGCCGTGGGTGTTCGTTGTCTCCAGCATGTATTAGAGAAGATGGGCCTTCCTGAAAATTTGACAATAGAAGAAGAAATAGTTAAGAAAATAACTTACAAAATGCCCCTCTTTAAGTCTTAACTTTGAGAAATTAAGAAAGACAGAAATTCTCAGTGTTTTAAAATGGCCTGGTATAAGAAGGGCCCCCTTGTATATAGATCAGGAAGAGAGAGATGCAGGAAAGTGTAAGGTACAAAAGAACTAGAGGATAACAAGAGAGACTCTAAATAGAGCCAGGGAAGGAAAATTTACCTTGACTGCTGCTAGCTGTGGAGCTCCTCAGCTCTCTATTAGAATATATCATTTGTTTCTCTATGGATGCTGTGAGATACCCCAGGAAATGCTCCACTAGCTGAAAAACTGTCATCACAGTCTTCATTACAGAAAGGTATAAAATAAACAATTTGAGATCATGGTAAGTTTGCCATTTCCTCCTGTCCTTCATTCCTAAACTACCCTTTTCCTTCATGAATTCCTTTTCAAGACTAATTTAAATGGGCATTGCTATGGTATTTTACTGCATTGTGTCCATCTCTTAAACATAGGGGAGAAAAATCTCAGGATAAGTGACCTTTCGGGATTCCTGGTCTCCATTTCAAATAGTCTCTGAATGAGATTTTTCAGAATGTTCATTCTCCCATTTTTATACATACATTTATCATAGCTATCCCAACATCGTGTTATAATAGGGTTGCTTATTTCTTTTTCTATGAATTTATTTCATGTGTTTGATAGACTCAAGACCCCACTTCCTTGTAGAAATGGTATATATCTAGTTATGTACAGTTTCTAAACATAATGATTTGTATGACTATACTCCTGAGGAACTCTCATGGAAATAAGGTACATATAGTGCGTGGTCTACTCCCAGGAGTGCTGCCCACATTATTCATCTAAAGTTTGAAGAGGCTCTCCCTCTCAGGTGCACACCTGCGCCTTTCCTGTACCCCTGTGCTTTCCCGCAGGCATATTACCTTTACCTGTCTATCTCCCAAGCTCTAAGGGCCCTTCTTTTGCCTCTATAACTTGTTTCCTGCACCCATTTCTTCTACAACTCACTTCTTCTAGCTCTGTGACTTTCTAAATAAGCTTTCTTATAGTTTGTGCCTTGCCTCTGAATTCCTTTATTAGCCCAACTAAGTATCGAGAATGCTGAATAGAGGCCCAGTCTAACTCCATCAGTCTAACACCTGGTGCTGTTTTTGATACTGCCAACAAGTATTTTGGAAGGAAGAGCACAGGAGAGGGAAAGAATCAGTGAAGACAGAGTTGAGAATGAGCAGTAAGGAGACAGGCTGAGCCCAAGAGAAAATAAAACGTCCAGTGAGAAACTGCTGTGACTGGAATCACCAAAGATTTGGTAAGAATGGAAATATCTTCAATTCAATTTTAAGTTGCTTGTTACACCTCAGAATATATGCTTCTCTCTTGCACAGATTGTGTAAACTTATTTTAGGGAGCAAACATATTAAGGTACAGTCTAGCATAGGCACAAATTACACAGAAAAGGGACAGCACACTTAGAAAAATGAGATGATCTGGAAATTGAACAAATCCAATAGGAGCAGGAATTCAGAGGCAGGAATGACTAAGAAAAAAACACAAGAAACATGAGAACACCTTGACCTATGGGAAATGAATAATGGGACCCCAGCATGAAGGTTTGAGTCATTGTCATCCAAAATTAATGTAAACATTGACCACAACTGTTACAAATATGTATGCAAAAATTTAGACATAGTGACTTTAATAAATGTGTCTAATCTTACAAAAGCAGTCAGAGCTGGTATTCGCACTTAAACCCAGATCTGTTTGGTTCTTGTATGCTGCCAGAATCTTCTACATAAGATAATTAAGTACACCATCTTACAAAGCCCTATGGATCCTCATTCATTTCCTAGTTTCTTGTTTAAAGATTTAATCAGAAAGTCCCAAATCACAATGGAAAAAAATTGAGAAAATAAATCAAAAGGTAGCTTAAATTAAAATAACTTGAAAACAAAAGTTGTGGTTTTTATCCTCACCTGAGGATATTTTTTCCATTGATTTTTTTACAGAGAGTGGGGGGAAAGGAAAGAGAGAGAGAGAGAGAGAGAGAGAGAGAGAGAGAAACATCCTAGATTGGTTGTCTCCCAGGGGATCAAGCTTTCGACCGAGGTACGTGCCCTTGAACCTGGGACACTTTGGTACCCCGGCCAGTGCTCTAACCACTGAGCCAAACCAACCAAGGCAGAAACAAAAGAACTTTAAAGCAGATTGTGCTGGCTATATTATATCAGACAAAGTAAACATAAAAACAAAGATTGCAATAAGAAACAAAGACGGTCAATACATAAGATAGAAAGGATAAAACATTTGTAAATATTTATGCACCAAAATATACAGAGTAAATATTAACAAATTTAAATGAAAAATATAGAGCAATACCATAATAGCAGGAGACTTTAATACTCCACTTTCATCAATAAATAGACCATTCATGCAGAATCAATAAAAACATTGGCCTTAATGACACATTAGATCAGATAGACTTAAAGACATGTGCAGAGCATTTCATTCAAAAGCAACAAAATATACATTATTCTCAAGCAAATGTGGAAGCTTCTCCAAAAGAGATAATTTCATAGGCCACAAAAATAATCTTAATAATTTTAAGAATATTGAAATCATATCAAGCATATTTTTAAAAACAATGACATAAAACTATAAATCAACTGCAAAAAGAAAACTGGAAAATTTATAAATATGTGGAAATTAAATAACATGCAACTGAGCCCAGCTGGCGTGGCTCAGTGGTTGAGCATCAACCTATGATCCAGAAGATCGTGGTTTGATTTCCGGTCTGGGCACATAAACAGGTTGCGGGCTTGATCCTCATTGTGGGGCGTTCAGGAGGCAGCCAATCAATGACTCTCTCTCATTACTGATGTTTCTATCTCTCTCTCTTCCTCTCCCTTCCTATCTCTGAAATCAATAAAAATATATTTAAAACAACAAAAACAAAAACAAAACATGCAACTGAACCAATCAGTGGGTGAAAAAAATCAAAAGAGAAATAAAAAAGAAACTTTGAAACAATGAAAATAGAAATACAACACACCAAGACGTAGGAAATCCAGCAAAAACTGTCCTAAGAGGGAAGTTATAATGATAAATACTTGTACTAAGAAACAAGGAAAACGTCAATTAAGTAACCTAACTTTACAACTCAAGAAATTAGAAAAACAAACAAAGCTCAAAGTTAGTAGAAAGAAGGGAATAACAAAAATCAGAGCAGAATAAATGAAGTAGAAACTACAAAGACAATAGAAAAGATCAATAAAACAAAAAGCTGGTTCTTTGAAGAAATAAACAAAATAGAGAAACCTTTAGCTAGACTCCCTAAGGAAAAATAAAGACAGAGGATTCAAATAAATAAAACCAGAATTAAAAGAGGAAACATTACAGCTGATACCACAAAAATACCAAAAACATATAAAATAGTTATCAACAATTATATACCAATAAATTGAACAACACAGAAATGGATAAATGCCTAGATACAGTCAACCTACCAATATTGAATCATGAAGAAATAGAAAACTTGAGTAGATCAATTACTAGTAAAGATACTGAATCATTACTCAAAAAACTTCAAAAAACCAGAAGTTCAGGACTACAGGTCTTCACTGGTGAATTCTGCCACCTATGTGAGGCAGTAACATTCAGGTCGTTTATAATGTAGTAGGGGAGACAGTTTGCATTCCATCGCCTCTTACTCTTTGCATTCAACAGTAAACAACTAGATTATCCCTCCTACTGGAATCCTCAGGCCTTTCATCATGAAGACATCATAGAAAAGTAGAAAGGATTTGAATTCAACATTGTCATCGTAAGTCTTTAATACTCTTTGGTAAAATTATCTTTATCCAATCTTAAACATATTTCTAAGTAAGTGATTGCTGCTTTAAATTAGAGATCAGTTTTACATTAAGAACTATGAATTTCACTATGCTGCAAAGATAGCTCATAGCCTTAACTACCTGTTGACCCTGATACCAACACCAGAAAAGGAAAACACAAGTCAATATCCCTCATGAACATTCAGGCAAAAATTATCAACAAAATATTAGCAAAGCAAATTCAAGAATATCTTAAAAGGGTCATATACCATGATGAACTCAGATTTATTCCAAGGACTCAAGGGTGGTTCAACACCGGCAAGTCAGTCAATGTGATACACTATATTAACAAAGTGAAGGATAAAAATATGTAATCATCTGAAAAGATGCAGAAAAAGCATTTAATAAAATTCAATATCCATTCATGACAAAACTCTCAGGAAAGTGTGTATAAAGGAAACATCCTTCAACATAGTACAGGCCATATATGACAAGGCCACAGCCAACATTATACTCAGTGGTAAAAAGCTGAAGGCTTTTTCTCTAAGTTCAGAAACAATATAAGGATGCCGACTCTTGTCATTTTTATTCAATGTAATATTGGAAGTCTAGCCAGTGAAATTAGGCAAGACAGAGAAATAAAAGTCATTCAAATTGGAAATGAAGCAGTAAAACTGTTACAGATAACATGATTATATATAGCTATATATGTGTGTATATATATTATATGTTATATATACAATATATATTACTAATGATAAAGAGGTTAATACAACAAAAGGATATAACATTTGCTAATATTTATGCACCCAACATAGGAGCACCTAAATTTTCAAAGCAAATATTAAAGGAAAAAATATACAGCAGTATAATAATAATAAGGGACCTTACTACTCCACTTTCATCAATAAATAGATAATCCAGACAGATTCAATAAAAACATTGGCCCTAGTGGTATATATACTAAAGACTCCAGCAAAACCTGTTAGAAACAATAAATATATTCAGAAAAGTTTCAGGATACAAAATCAATATACAAAAGTCAGTGTGTTTCTATGCACTAATAACAAACTATCAGAAAGAAAAATTAAAAAACAATCTCACTTAGAGTTGTATCAAAAAGGATAAAAAATAAATAATTTTGAGAATTACTTTGGAAATATAAAGTGCTATATTATTCTTTTGTAAATCAATGGAGCATATAAAATTTAAATCAATAAGTTATTTATAAGAAGTAAGCACATGTAAATATTTATTAAATATTACTATGTTGCGACTAATATGCCAACAGTACCAGGTCTGTATTAATGGGGTCAAGGAGAAAAGAGGGGAACTAATTTTCAGCAGTTAATATTGAGAGGACTGCCAAAGATTGTATCTTAAATGCTGTGCCTGGTTGACTTGCCAACAAGAGTGAATGTGTAAATGAAAAGAGAGTGCTATGTGGCTAGTTATGTCTTTGAGTGATCAATGTCTCTGTGTGTTAAAAGCTAAAGAGCACTGGTGAGGTGACAAGCAGAAGATACAAAAATAAAAATAGAACTTAGGCAGTGTACAACAGCAGCCATGTCAGCAGATGGACATTAGAAGTGATGATGGGTGTGATAAACAGCAGGGTTGAGGTGGAGGAGAGAGGGGGAGAGGGAGAAAGAGGGAGAAAGGGAACAAAGGGAGGAAGAGAGAAAGACAGAGACAGAGACAGAGAGAAGGAAAGGGAGGGGGAGGAGACAGAGAAATAAGAAAACTGCTTTGTTTCTGGTTTGGGGTTCTGGTTTCCTTTGTTTCCAGGGAGAGGGGTAAATAACAATACTGTGTCTTCCACCTTGAAGGCATTGACGTAGGGTGTGAATGCACATCTATAATTAGAGTGTAACAGTACATGCACTAGTAGATTTTAGCGGAAACAAAAGCTAGAAATGTAGATTTGGACAGTATTATAACGGGCCATCAAAGATAGATGTTTTATTTTGTTCTTTACATTAGCGTTTAAAACTTGAATTCTAAGTGAGATAAGTCTAACAACATTTTGTTAGATAAAATTAGAACTAGAAAGAGGGAAGGTTAATAGTCAAGGTGGAAGTTAATTGAGGAATGAAATATCCTGAGATCCTTGAATAACTCCTATTTTGGCTACTGTCACCAAATAGAAATCCTCCTTTACCTGAATGAAATAAAACTTAACACATCTCTTTTTCTTGTTTAGTTGCCCTCGGGACACCCAACAGGCTGAAATAATTACAACTTTCTACAAACCCTCATATATGGCACAGTAAGTTATCAATGAAAAAACATACTGTTGCAAACATTTTAGTTTATATTTTTGTTATTTCCCATGGCATAAGGTTGCCATGTCTGGTGAGGGATGGCAAAATATGGATCCAATGACTCAGTTGCTACTATGTGGGTACGGGTATGCCATGAGAAATACATATCAACTTGGAAGCAGTAACAATCCGAGGGACATTCGCTGTATGCAGGGAAATGGTAAGCTATGTTTGCCAACCCTTTGTCAACTTCTGTAGTGACAATCCAGTATAATAACTGATGTTTGATATGATGGCTTTTTGATATGATGGCACATAGCAGGTGCTTACATTGTAAGGCCTAAAATTTCATGGGCTGCCTTGATGTATTTGAGTCTCACACGGCCTCTCTACCCAGAAAGAAAAGCTGCCTACCTGACTAATTCCCTATCAGCCAGATCACCTTATACCCCACAAGGTCCTCAACTTAATGGTTTACCTCCTTACCAGCTCCCAAAATTATTCAAAACAATCACATCCTCCTTTGGAAACCAGGAATTCCTTCACCCCCTTGCTACTACAAAGCCTGATACCTGACACTGGACAGATGAGGTGACAACAGTTTATTAATCATATATATACCACAGCCTGGGGAAGGAGGATCCTGCATCCCATGCAGGGCTACACTTATGTTGCACTTGGGGGAAGAGTGAGCCAGCAGAGGCTGTGGGAAGTTCTGAAGTTCTACTGGATTATTTTCTGTTCCCTTCTATTCTAGGGTTAACTTTCTCTTTAACATCTCTGTTAACAGCTCAAACCCACATAGGGCCCCTACATTTCTGTGAATTGCTTGGAGAAACTCTAGTCTCTTTCACTAAGCCCTGGATCTCACATCTATCTCTCCCCAGGGTTCTTATATCACACCCCAAATAGTAAAAGATCTCTTCTACTTTATCTCCAAAGTAAGACCACACCAGGTGGCAGTTTATTTGAAGACTTAGAGGAGGACCAGGAAGGGGGATTGCATTTTAGCACTGCAAAACAATCCACCTAAAGTGGGATACTGGGCCTCCTAATCCTTGAGGCCTCTGCCATGGAGGATTTCATAGGGGTTCCTATCTTCTTACTGCCTACTGCCATTTTTCATGGCTGGGTGGGTCCTTCCTGGACCTTCCTTCAATTGCCCCTTCCTACACAACTAACTTTTCCTGAACTACTCAACACCTCTCTCTCAGGCTGCTCTTGGAAACTAAAGTCTTTGCTTTCTGTATTGTTTGAGCATTTTGGTTTTCTCCCTTTGTCTCACTGTTGTGCATCTTCTGGAGGTGAGCACAGCCAAAGGCATTATAATGCCATCTGTCCCACAACCCAATTTAAAAAAATGTTCTCTTGTTAAGGGGAATTGGATTTGTGCCTTCCTCAAGTGTTAACTGGCTCAACTATCAATCTGCTTTTTAAAAATATAAACAAAACTTATTTAAAATATATTGTTAGACTATATTCCAAAGGACCCATCTTTAAAGACAACTTTTCAAGTATTCAGCATGAATTTTATGTCATCTTAGGACCCTTTGAGCCAAGATATTAAAATAAAAAGCCTGCATTATTATTGCTGTAAGAAAGAACACATAAAATAGACTACTACATTGCCTTCAAAAAACTTAATCTTTTCCCAGAGGAGCCAGAGCAAGCTTCTGACTGTCATAGTCAAAATCCAGTGTTCAGCAGTGGAAAGAACACTATATGAAGAGTGAAAGATCCCAGTTCAAATTCAAAGGCTGGATCTTGACCATACTATGAGTCAGATATCAGTTCTGTTATAACCCACTTACACAAAGACAAGGCCCTGACTACTGAATAAGAAGGTCATTCACCATCATATCTGACCACTTGCCTGAGGTGAAATAAATCAATTAATTTATTTATATTAGTTAGTGGTAGAGTTCAAATTAATGGTAAGTGCTTGGATTATAATGTGATTTTCTTGAATGTAAAGTACTTGTTTCTTTAACCAGAAGCCTCCTAGTGGCAAAAATGCAGCAGAAAGGAGATTAGGCCTTCAGTTGCTGTTTTTCTAGGTATAAGGGTGCATGTTAGATTTCAGCCTAACCTTGTCTGACTTTTCTGTTAATAATTGATTAGCATCCCAATGCCTCTACTTCTAACCCATTAACACAAGAGCAAACTTGGTTTAGTGGAGGTATACTGAAAATGGCATTAAGCCATGAAAAGTTTAATTTCCATCTTTATTGTAAATCCCTGTTAATTATATTCTTTTTCTTTTGTTTTTACATATCTGGCCATTATTTCTTTCATGATCATGGTGTTCAAGCAGGAATTATGCATAATGTATAACTTAGGGGTAATTTTAAGCCGTCATTTACCACCTGCTTTTTTATTGTTGACACTCTTATAGATGTCCTCTGCTTTCCCCCTTTTTGCCCCCCTCCACCCAGCTCCCACCCCTAGTCTTCACCAAATTGTTATTTGTGTCCATGGACTGAGCATATATGTGTATATGTATGCTCTTTGGCTAACCTCTTCCAGTTCCCCATATGCCTCCCCTCTGAGATCTGTCATTCTGTTACATGCATCCATGCCACTGGTCCTATTTTGTTCATCAGTTTATTTTGTCCATTAGATTACACATATAAGTGAGATCATGTGATATTTGTCTTTCTCTTACTGGCTTTTTCCACTTAGTTTAATAATCTCCAGTTCCATCCATGTTGTTGCAAAGGGTAAGACTTTCTTCCTTTTTTACAGCTGCATCATATTCCATGGTGTAAATGTCCCACAGCTTTTTTATCCACTCATCTACTGATGGGCACTTGGGCTGTTTCCACATCCTGGCTGTTGTAAAGTGCACTGCTATGGACATAGGGGTGCATATATTCTTTCTGATTTGTGTTTTGGGATTCTTAGGATATATTCCCAGAAGTGGGATCACTAGGTCAAAAGGCAGTTCCATTTTTAATTTTTTGAGGAACCTCCATACTGTTTTCCATAGTGGTTGCACCAGTCTGCATTCCCACCAGCAGTGTACCAAGGTTCCCCTTCTCCACATCCTCACCAACACTTGTCATTTGATGATTTGTTGATGGTAGCCATTCTGACAGGTGTCAGGTGATATCTCATTGTTGTTTTAATTTACGTCTCTCAGATGATGAGTGACTTTGAGCATTTTTTCATATGCCTCTTGGCCATCTAGGTCCTTTGCCCATTTTTTAATTGAATTGTCTTTCTTTTGTTAAGTTCTATGAGTTCCTTATATATTTTGCTCTTATCGGATGTATCATTGGCCAATATGTTCTCCCAAACAGTGGGCTCCCTTTTCAATTTGTTGATGATTTCTTTTGCTATACAGGAGCTTTTTATTTTAAGGTAGTGTTATTTGTTTATTTTCTTTTCCTTTGTTTCCCTTGCCCTAGAAGATGTATTGGCAAACATCTTGCTATGAGAGATGTCTAAGATTTTGCTACCCACATTTTCTTTTAGGATTTTTATGGTTTCATGACTTACATTTAAATATATTATCCATTTTTAAAAAATATAATTTTATCAATTTCAGAGAGAGGAAGGGAGAGGGAAAGAGAGATAGAAACATCAATGAGAGAGGGTCATTGATTGTCTGCTTCCTGCAAGCCCCTGTCTGGGATTGAGCCCACAACCCAGACATGTGCCCTGACGGGGAATCAAACTTCGACCTCCTGGATCATGTTAGTGCTAAACCGCTGAGCTATGCCAGCCGGGCAGTATTTTATCCATTTTGAGTTTATTCTTGTGTATGGTGTAAGTTGGTGGTCTAATTTCTTTTTTTGTGTGTGTTTAACTGTCCAATTTTCCCAACCCCATTTATTGAAGAGATTGTCTTTACTCCATTGTATGCTCTTACCTCCTTTGTCAAATATTGCTGTGTAGAAGCTTTTTAGTTTTTTAAAAAAATATGTTTTTATTGCTTATAGAGAGAGGGAGAGAGAAAGAAATATTGATGTGAGAGAGACACATGGACTGATTGCCTCTTGCACACCGCTTACTGGGGCTGGGGTCTGCACTTCTCCGTGCCTGGGATGGTGATGCTCAAACAACTGAGCCACACCAGCCAAGGCAGAAACTTTTTAGTTTGATGTAGTCTCACTTCTTTATTTTTCCCTTTGCCCTAGGAGATATATCAGCAAAAAATATTGCTACATGAGATGTCTGAGATTTTACTAGCTATATTTTCTTCTAGGGTTTTTATGTTTTCTCTCCTTAATTTGAGACTTTTATACATTTTGAGTTTATTATTGTGCTAGGTGTAAGTTGGTGGTCTAGTTTCATATTTTTTTTTGCATATACCTGTCCAATTTTCCCAATACTATTTATTCCAGTTGTGTTGCAAGTCTTATTTAAACGTAGATGTTACTTAGACAACAAATAATTATTGTATTGTGAAAACAGGAAAGAACTAATTTCCTAGATTCAAAAAAGCCTTGGAGTCTGTTTAACAGAAGACATAGAGAAAAAACATCTCTTTTTCGATTTATGCTCCATAACCTTCATTGTTATTTGTAAAGAGACAGAAGCCAGAGAGGCACAAACTCCAGTAGGTGATCTAAGCACAGGGGTGAAAGTTAAGAATACTCAGCTCTGGGCCTGGTTTAGCTGCTAAATTGTTGCTTGACCTTGGACAAGTAACCATGTAAAATAAGGGATCTGAACGTCCTATTGTTCTCTACTCTAAAAAAAAATGAGCTTTGTGGTTCTGTAATGGAGTGACAACATAGTTACCAATAGCCAGTCAGGCCAAATTCAAGAAATTCCCTGCTGTAGTATATTAGCTACACCTATATGTTATGAACTTCTTGAGGGTTCAACAAACCCCAGCAAGCATATAGATGAAAAGCTGCACCATTTTGACATGGATTAACTTTTTCCCTATTTCTTGTTCCTATACATCTTAGATAAAAATAACACCTTGAAGTCTTAATAACAATTCCGTTGTACTAATTAGTGCTGGAGAATGATAGAACAACTTAAAGTCAAGCTTTCCAAAGTAATAAATTAAGCCAAACTACCTGTTTTGAATAGTTTATTTTCCCT